AATAACAATCGTTGGCATAATTTTATTTCGGATTTTCAAATATGGTGGTGCTAATGTAACGGACCTAGACAACACTACTCGATAGCGAGACGCGCTTACGACAGTGTGCTTAGAGATTTTTTATGTTTATAAATTATTATTAATAAATTGTTTCACTTTATTTGACTAAACGAGTCTAAGTGTTTTATTAATTTCAATACATATCTTCTCAACATACGTCTCAACATACGTCTCAAGACAGCGACGAACGTGCTACGTCGTTTAAATAATTATTGTGGTACCGATCGCCGTGTCCTGCACAGCGATCACTACAATGTGGAGCAATCAATTGCTTTCCAATTTTATGCTGATAACCTTGATTAAAAGTTCCCTACTTAGAAAATGATATAATTAGTTTCTGATTAAAGTTATTAATTGATATATCTTTATACCATCCTGGAAGTAGGTATTTTAATAGCTGCATCATTTTTTAATGCACTAAATAAAGACTCCTTAAAAATTCAAAAATATTTGATTATCCTTTGATACATTTACAACTTATATTATGCATAATGTAAAATTTCATAAAATATATGTTGAAAATTAAATGAATTTTTTGATAAAATTTGATCCTCCTTATAACATAAGTAGTAAGTTATGAAATCCACTAAAATTAAGTATGATGTGGATAAATAAATAGGAATTATGAACTAGTACTTACACTTGAAATACTTTGATTTGAACAATTGTTACGAACAGAACATGGGCGCAGGTTAAATAAGAAAATTTTGAAAATGAATGCTGTGAATTAAACTTACAAAATATAATGATTTATGCTGGATTCATACGAAGTTAGTAGAGCTTTTTGTGAATTTGTTCGAGAATATTATTAACTCGCATATTATGTACTAGATATAATTTGTGGAAAACCACAATTTACATTTTATACTAGTTGTATAGTAATTGTTGGATAACATAACGAGAGGTATAGTGTATAAATACCAAAAGTCCATAAATCACTTTTATATTCTCACACGCATTTATATTTTGTTGACAATTTAATCAGTTTCGAAGTTCTAAATATTTATTTAGGTAGATATTGTTGTAGTAACATTTTCTATACTAAATAGTTGATGTCCAACTTGAAAGAAATAAATAGATTGTTTTTTTTGCCATTAAATTGATAAATATCAGTGGACCGCAATTATCAACTAGCGGCTGCCTCCAATTCTTGTTCCCGTTCAAATCTTAAACATTGTTCGATTAGTCATTAGTGTGGTGTACTGGTGTGCAAATAAATGTGTAATGAAAAATGTTTACAATAAATCCTAGTAAGTACTCATGTTATATTATTTATTTTATATTTTATTATATGTTGTGACCATTTGCTCCCAAATTTAATAAACAACTTATTTACAAAATAATACATAATATATAAATTTAATAATAACATTACAAAATAATTTTAAAAATATATACTCGTAAAATCAAAATTAATATAATAATATATAATAATAGTGTCATTAATATTCTTTAGATTATTAAAATCTACAATGAAGAGGTTGAGCAAACAATCATCGATAAAAAATGATGATTTATAAAAAAAAAATCTCTTATTCAAATTTATTAGAAACTATTGAAAGTATTAATGAAGAACAAACTATATAAAAAAAAGCAACTACTAAATCATCTTCAAAATTAATTTTTAATGATGATATATCATTTTTTGTAAATAAAATTTTGACTGACGCGGAACGAAAATTAATTTTAACCCATTTTCGGATACCACCATATAATTATAATTTTCCTATACAAAGCACGCGTAATCTAAAATTACAAGTACAGTTGATTGATCAATTCTCTTTGATTTTATATTCAAAAATCAAAAACGGAATTTATTGTAAATATTGTTTAATTTTTGCGAAAGACATTTCTGGTAAAATTAATAATCAAAAACTAGGTAATTTTGTTTCAAAAAGCTTTAATAATTGGAAAAAAGCAGAAGAAATATTTAATAAATATGAAAAGAATGACTATCATAATTCACAATACCTGTAAAACAATGGCTGATAACTTTCTTTCTGTAATTAATGGAAAACAAAAAATGTTATCAATATATTAAAAACTGAACGAGCACGTCGAGCTGAAATAAATAAGAAAATATTTACTTCGATTGTAAAAACAATAATACTGTGTGGTCGGCAAGAACTTAATGAAGAGGAAAAATTGATTAATGATTTTGGTAATGTTCTTAACTATGATAATAAAAACCATGGTTCATTTAGATCACTTTTACGATTTCGAGTCTATGCAGGTGATACCTACTGTCTTAGAAAATCATTTAAATTAACGACAATAGTAGATTAAAATATACAAGTACCTGTATTCAAAAAGAATTCATTGATATATGTAGTAAAATAGTTCAAAATAAAATTGTAGATAATGTAAACATGTTTAAAGGAAGAGATTAATAAAGTAATCAAAATAATGTTAAGTTAAATTAATAATAGGTAAGGATTTTAATACATTAAATAATAAACCGGTTGAACTGGTTGAAGTATGGCTTTTGGGTCTGGAAAAAAAATCTGTAAAAAATTAAGTCCATATCACTACCGTAATACTATCACTACATCCATACTCTGCAAAACCATATAAAAATAATATAAAATGCACTCAAGCACGTAAATCGGCAACGGGTCGCATATCTCGAGTCTCGACTAACATAAGAAACTATATTATAATAATCCTATAGCTAACATTTGTAACTGCCGCATGCACACAATATTTCAAATACCTATGTCACCTCTGCATTTTCGATTTCCTACTAAATATATAACTATAAAGCTAATCCACAGTATGACAATCCTACTTATTGTATACAATTTACAGGCTGATGACAAAAAATAATAATTTAATATTTCGACAAAACAATAAATTCTAAATATTTTGCTGTTTTAGCTGACGAATCAACCGATATATCTAATGTTAAATTCGTTATGTTTAAGATATAATATAGATCATAGATGTAATAAATAATGTAATTCGTGAAGATTTCCTCGAATTCATTCCTGTTCATGAGTTCATGACATGACGGGCCGTGGATTAGCATTGACAATTATAACACGACTAAAAGAAAATGAAATCAATTTGAATTATATGATTGGACAAGGCTATGATGAAGCAGCATTAAGTGGTCATTTGAACGGTGCACAAACTATTATCATTGAGTATAGATATACTATCTATACTCAATGCTATTATTCGTTCTGAATGTTATGTTTCAACTTAACTGTATTAATAATAAATATGAAACACATAATTAACAGTTGTAGTTAAACATTAATTATATTACAAAGTTGTATAATTATATTACAAAGTAAGAACGAACATGTTTTTATTGAACAGACAAGAATGACAAAGAAATAGAATGTAACAACATATATATATTTTAGGTTACCTACTGGCATAGCAGTGTGACCATACATAACACCCTTACACTTAAGTTTTGAATAACTACAAATGTAATAATAAATAATATAATGATTTTAACAATAACAAATAATACACAATATGAATAATTTAACATTACACAAACTAATTAATAATATAGAAAATCTTTTTTTAAGTTAGGCTTACGCTGCCTTTTACAATTAATAACATTTTTTTCTTCACCTATTACATTTTTTTCTTCAAGGTTTTCATTCTCATCACTCTCACCATTTATACTAATTGGTCCTAGGATTCTTTTTCTTATATGTCTACTTGTTCTTCTAAACTCTTTTTTAAACAAATCAATCAACCAATAAGACCTAGGTGCATTAGCTTTCTTAATTATTTTTCCTGGTACCCACACATTATCTTTTAAGAATAATATATCCTCTTGTGGTATAAATTCATTACACTTTTTTGTATGCCTATTATAATAATGCTTTTGCACAGTTTTTCTTAATTTTAAACTATTTTTCACTTTATTGGAATTAATGTATTTTGGACTCAAAAGACTTTTTAAAATTGGTAATTTTTCCTTAAGTTTCTTAGACATTAACAGTTCTGCTGGAGAAAAACCCACACGTTCAATACGAGTGTTTCTATATTCCAACAGTGAAATATATGGGGATTGCTTACTCTCAACACTCTTTTTTAAAATCTTTTTACAAATCCCCACAAATTTTTCAGCTAAGCCGTTTGACTGCTGATAATTAGGACTACTTGTAATCACTTCAAAGTTCCAGGCTTTTCCAAAGTTCCTAAATTCGATGCTATTAAATGGTACATTGTCAGCTACTACTATATCAGGACTACCAAACCTAGCAAAAATAGACATAAATTTAGAAATTATTTCACTAGCTGACTTATTAGAGATATGTAACAACTCTATCCAGTTAGAATAATAATCAACGACTACCAAATAATACTTATGATCAAACTCTAATATATCTGCTCCTAATCTTTCCCAAGATCTGTTTGGTACAGGATTAGATAGTAAAGGTTCCTTAGGTTTAGCATTTTGTAGTTTAGTACAAACATTACATGACTGAACTAATTTCTCTATGTCTTTATCCATACCACGCCAATACAGTAACTCTCTTGCTCTGGACTTACACTTGACTATTCCCCAGTGTCCTTCATGTATTATTTTTAACATTGGATTTTTCAATACCTCAGGCACAACAACTTTCTTATTTAAAAATACTAGTCCGTCTACTATCATTAGATCATCTTTAATGTTCCAATAAAATTGTATGTTGTGTGGGACTTTATTTTTAGTCATTGGCCAACCAGTGTTGCACAATTTGATAAGGGTACTTAGTTCACTATCTTTTTCTGTTTCTGTTTCAAATAACTTCTTTTTCTCTTTCGACATAGCTAGACTTTCTATTAACTCAAGAACCACTAACTCTATTTCAGGATCATTATCACCTTCTGTGCTTAAAAAATCCCTTGATAATGTATCTGCAATGTACATCTCTCTACCGGGTGTAAACACAATACTTAAATCATACTTTAGCAGTCGCATTCTTAATCTTTGCAGTCTCATAGTTACTTTATGCAAATCTTTTTTGAAAATAGACTCCAGTGGTTTATGGTCAGATTGAACAACTACTTTTCTGCCATAAATAAATGTATGAAATTTGTCACACGCGAACGATATGGCTAGCATCTCTTTCTCTATTTGGGCATATTGTTTCTCAGCATTATTTAAACTACGAGATGCATACGACACTACATGCCCATTTTGTATTAATGCAGAACCCAGCCCATCTCGAGAAGCATCTGTCTGTATTATGATAGGCTTTTTGTTATCAAAGGTTTTAAGAAGCGGTGATGTTGATAACAATTTTTTAAGCTTATCGACGGACTGTATGTGTTGACTTTGCAACTTAAATTCAACATTATTTTGTGTAAGTTGTCTTAAAGGTGCAGTTATTTTACTTAGGTTTGGTATAAATTTTCCAACATATTTTACTAATCCTAACAATCTCAACAGCTCTTTTTTCGTTTTTGGATAACTTAATTTTACTACTGCTTCTATATGTTTCTTATCTGGCCTCACACCCTCATGCGAAATTTCATGTCCAACATAACTTACTGTATTTCGCTTGAATTGAAACTTTTCCTTATTAAATTTTATATTTAATTCTCTAGCTCTGTTTAACACTCTAACAAGGGCTCTATCGTGTTCTAGTTCTGTTGCTCCTGATATAATAAGATCATTAAAATAACAGAGCACTCCATCAATTTCTCCAAAAGCCTCACTTGTCTTACGCTGGAAAACTTCAGGTGCAGATGAAATTCCAAAAGGTAATCTCATAAAACAATAACGACCAAATGGTGTAGTAAACGTACACACTTTTGAACTATCCTCATCTAATTTCACGTGCCAGAAACCATCTTTGAGATCTAATACACTAAACAATTTTTTACCTTCTAACCCTGCTAATATTTCTTCAACGTTTGGGATGGGATGGTGCTCTCTCCTTATTGCTTTATTAAGATTTTTTGGATCTAAGCATAATCTAAGTCCTCCTTTAGGTTTTTTAACAATCACTAAGGGACTTACCCACTCAGTCGGTTCATTTATTTTCTTGATAACGTTCCTTATCTCCAGTGACTTAATAGTATCTTTTAACTCAGGAATAATACTAAATGGTACTCTCCTATTTGGACTTATAACTGGAGTTACCTCTTGGTCTAAAGTAATATGATATTTTTTCCCTGTAAACGCACCTAAACCCTCAAAGATATCACTTTAGGACTCAATAATCTGCTCTTTACTACTAACTTTATCTTCCAACTTTGTCAGTGTTACTGTATCTATTCTACCAATCAATTTTAATAATCTGCATGCGTCTAATCCTAATATAGGAATAGCATTACTAATATCTACAATTAGAAATTTTATTTTATGTCTCTCACTTTTGTTTTTTATAGTACAGTCCAAAATAACTTCTCCTTCTGGTTTTATTCTTTGATCTCCAAAACTTATTAGGACAGTCCTTGTCTTATCTAATTTTTTTATTTTTAACAATTTAGCTGTATGGAGAGGTAAAATATTAGCCTCTGCACCAGTGTCCAATTTGAAATTAACATATAGTTGTATTTCTTTAAAACTGACTATTACATCTTTGAACCATGACTTGTTACTATCACTACTAATTA